TATATATCTAATTCAAAAAAAATAAATAGAATATATAGCCAAGTATCCAGTTTTGAATATTTTATGTATGAATGTAATGGAAAAATTTTGGATTTCGAATTGGTCTGTAAGTTTCTTTTCTATAATAACACAAACATATGTAATTGTAGATCTTCACATTAGTAAGTAAATATTTGAACACATACTATGCAAGCATATCTACACTATCCTCCTTGGATGGGAATAGATGGACAGATTTACGCATCAAAGAGTTGACTAAAGTTCTAAAGTAATTTTTTTCCTGAAATAGATCTAATTTAGAATAATATAATTAAATATATATGCGCATCTTGATAAAACGTTGTTGTAAAAATAGCAATTTTAAAAAAGAATCATGACAACAGAGATGATACTTTATATTGAAACCTTTTTAAAAACGAGTAATCGCTAGTTGGTCGGTTTCACTATCGTTTGTATGTCATTTGATTCTGTGGCTGGAAGTTTAACCAATAGGTAAATGCATTTAATAAAAATTAAAAGGCATGCTTAGTAAAAAATTATTTAGAATACTTCTACGAAATTACACATTACAAGTAATTTCGTTTCCAATGCTCTTATATTAGTTGATCATGATTTCATTACAGATGCGAGCATTATCTTCCATTTAAATTCAGAAAATTTTCCATGTACTATGTATAAGTCCAACTTTAGAGTCAAACATGTTTCATCATATAATTTTGTTATAAATGTTTGCGATACTGTTTTTTTTATCTAGCTAATTTTGAAAGAGAAAAAACCAAAAATTTTTTAATTGTTTTTGTTTATAATTAAAATGTAATCGAATTTAAAATAGCTCATATTTCATAGTTTTATAACACACTTTGATAATGTGAAAGTCTCTGTGATTTATTGCACAAGAAATTCGTTTCTATTTTTAAATTAAAATATTATTTGCCTTCATAATGTTTTCTTTCTACAAATATAAAAAAATCAATAAATACTTTTTTAAATACACATCATTTTTTCTTCTTTTTTTTATATTATAATATATTAATATTAATCAAATATTATGCATATTCAATTTTGTTAAATTTCGGTTTTTTATTTTTCAGTTAAAATTGAACTAATTTTCTTAAAATTAAACAATAATAAGTATGCTATCCAATACAGGTGGTGGGCTAGAATAAAACAAAAAAATTTATTTTCAAAATATTCTTCTGTTTTATATTTTTAATCACCAATTTTTTTAAAATTCTTATGTTTTAAACTCAACTTTAAATTAAAATGTAAAATTATAGAGATTCTTTTGATAAACTTGGGTACACTTTCCTTCTATTGATTACATAAAATTTATGTACTACTGTTTGAAAAATATTTTGATTTTGTGTATGGGATTTTAAAAAATTGTGATTTTAAATTTTAAGCAGTTTTAAATAAAATTTTTATAGAAAAAACACATTTAATTTACCTAATTAATCAAATAAAAATCATATGAATTTACGTAAATTAAAATAAATGTAGGAGAATTCATCTTATATTTTGTTTGAAAGTGATTTTTTGCTTTTTTAAATCATTTTTAATATTATTCTGGTAAGTTAATAAACGTTATAGAAGAAACTTCATAACGAAATATGTACATCGTTCTGGATATAGCAAATTAAAAAATTTAATTACTCTATTACTCAATAATAAATATTGAGTATTTTGATTATTTATCGTAATTTTTGTTAATATATTAAAAATTATATGAAGTTCGTTTTGTATTTTATTATGCAAGAAAAAAAATTTACTTGTAAAAATATTTATGATTGAAAGCATACATTTTATTTGTTTTACTATTGCCCTTCTATATACATAACATACGACTTTAGTAGATTCAATTAAACTAAATGAAATTTGTTCTACAAATTAAAACACATTTATTACATTAAAATTTCCAATTCAATTTAATTAAGTACTTTAATTCACTTCACTGGGTTGCTTTTTTTATTTACATTCTATACATTGTAGTTTAGATTTTAGAAGTTTTAAATTTAGATCTGTAAGGAATTTTCTTCTCTATCTTACTGCAGATTTTAATGATATGCAAAGCAAATAGCTTGTGAAAAAAATGAATATGTGATACAAATAATTTTTCTTTTTATACCCTATGGTGTTTGGAAAATTGAAATATTTAAGGAGAGAGCAAAGTTCAACATTATTTCGGAAGTTTCGATATTTCAAAAAAGTTTTCTTTTCGAAATATAAAAATAAATATTATGAAAGTGCGCCAATTTATAGTTGCAAGGATAAATTTTAAAGCGTTTCACATAAAAAAAAGGATTAGAAGTTATTTTACAAATTAATATTTTATTGTTTGTGGTAACGCACATTTTGCAGTTAGTGTTTATAATAATTGATGTAAAATTCTTACTGTATTTTTTTAAAAATATTACAACTATGCTCACGTCTTGAATATTTTAACTGTAAATATAAAAAGTGAATGTTTTCACTGGATTCTGAATCTCATGTGAATTTATGAGAGACGTGTAGTTGATGACCTACAATTATTTTAAACTATGTGAGGTTTATTTTATAAATATTACTTATGACTTTATTACTATTGTCTTTGTCGAATGGTGAACTTTATGCCGTTTTCTTCTATCATAAGTTAAGAAAATTTTTAAAACACAATAAATTTACGGTAACCTATTAAATAATGACTTGAGTAAAAATTTGGATTAGTTACCAAAATTATTGAGTGTAGCGAGTATAATATTATTTAGTTATATTTTTAAAATAACAGACTTACATAATGGGGAGTATAAGTATACTAATTATTGACTCAAAATATCTTGAAATATCGAAAGAAAAGTAGTCAATAAAAAAATTTAACAAAAGATTTTCATTTGCAAAATATAAAAAATTCCATATTTTGTTGAAGAACTATGAACTATGTAACCTTATTCAATTTATTTAAAACTATTGAACATTGTGATAAATTATGATACATTTATTTTAATAAAATTCAGTGCATCACTATTTCTTTTCTTTACAGGAAGAAGATTAAAAATAACTTCAGTATTTAGCTTTCATTAAAAAATAGAACTTATAAGAGAGCAGCAAACACGTATTATTGCAACCAGTACAAATTTGGGTGCCAAATATTAAATTATTGTGAGATTTTTAATTTGAGCTCTAATATTCCATAATAGCGATTATTCACAGGTGAACGATCAGGATGTCTAGTATAACCAATATAGTTTTATAATAAAGTTAAATGTTTTTTGCTTTGATTTTATTTAATAAACAGTCGGAATCAACAATAAAAAAAAAAACTCTTTAAAAATGATGGACCTTTTAATTTAGCAATTGTAATGAATTACAATAACTATGAATTTCCGTTTTATAAGACTTTTTTTCTTATTTTATTTCTAACGTGTACTATTTTAAAGCATTTTGAAAGCATCCAGCCGGGATGTTCTTTATAAATAGTTTTTTTTTTTTAATAAGTTCAATTTATATTTTATTATAAATGTGGGGTAATCGAAAGTAAAGCGTTTCATTTTAATACAGTAATCTCTCGATACACGTCGTTTTTGGTTTCTGCCAAACACGCATACCGAAAACTCATATAGAAAAGTATATTTTTTTAAATTTTGTATTAATATTTATTTAAAAATCCATACTTTCATAATATCCATCCATAATTAATTATAATGTTTGTTTTTATAAATAAGGCTACTTATATTCACAAAATGTAAATATATATTTAAATGTATTCATAAATACATAGTCTAACCTCACTTTATTTAAAAAAACCCTTTAAAAATTGAATCCATATGAATATGATATTCATGATTACCGTTTTTTGACAAGCAAAATTGTAATGTAAGAACAAAACTTTTGGACTTGGGTGCAAATGTACCAAAAATTAAAAAGAAATTTTTTTTAAGCGACATAATATTATGAACGAGGAACAAAAATTTCACCGACATATATAGGGCCAACGTATATTGAGGGATAGCTGTTTTTCTTTTTAAAGAAAATAATTAAAAAAACTTCTAAGATCAAAACCAATGCTTATATAATGCGGTAAAAAGATTTTAGGGCAAAAGGTTTCGTTTGCATAATCAAAATTTAGATATGAGATTTAAAATTACTAATTAAATTACTTTATTTTTATTTTTAAATTAATCGAATTGAATTGAGACATAAACGTAACAAATGTGCTTACAGTTTTGTTTAAAAAAAATATTAATATAACTAATTAATCATAATATTTCACGTTCTTAAAATCATTTTCTTTTGAACTCTTATTGCTAAAAATTTAATTAGAATTTAAAAATTGATTTAAACTTAAAAGAAATTTAAAAAAATAATGTATACATATGTATATAAAAACTAATGAAATTATAAATAATAATAAAAAAAAAATTTAAATTTAAAATAAATTCTTGCCATCAATATGGAATTCAACAGAAACAAAATAATACAACAGTTAAAATTCACTTTATTTTAGTTTTTTTAATAGTTTTTTTTTGTTGCTTTAAAGAATAGTTTATGTAAAACTGATTTCATTTTTTATTTTCAATAACCACGTAATAATACTTATTCATTAATTTATCAAATTTTTTATTTCATTTAATTTTACCTTTTAATTAGTTTAGATTTATTTTAATTTAATTATAGTTAATAACCTTACAACCTAATGGCTTTTCGAATACTGCTTAGAGATTTCGGTTTATCATACTGGACGGTTCACTTTTTCTTTTTGTTATTACTTCAATAATAGTTACAATTCTTATAGTTATTAATTTTAATATTACAGGAATTTTTTTTTCTTTCTTTTAATTATTTACAATTAAAGTTTATTACATAAGACTAAAGAAATAAATAAAATAAAAAAAAAACTCAAAAAAAAAGAATCTTGCTTACAAACTAACCTTATGTTTTATTTATTTTATATTTAGAAATTTTATTTTTTATTGTAATTGTTTTTTTTTATTTTAAACAATATTGAATTCTTTTAGTGTATACGTATGCATGTGCATATGTTTCAGGTATATATAAACATAAATTGTGTATTATTATGTTGTATATATACGTTAAAATATCTGTACATGTATACATATTAATATACCTTATGACCAGTATCATAAACCAACTTGTATGATCACATATATTTGTTTTTTTTTTGTAATTTCTATAATTTCAACAAGAAAATTATATGCTCTATATAGTTTTTTCAACAATCAGTTGTATCAGGGAACTCATTATGTAATTGTTTTTTTTTGTTTTTATTTTCATATATCTTCATTTTAATTCTACAATAATTTTTGAGATCAAAATTCTGTAGGATATTTGGAGCATTCAGAATTTGATGCTGTAAACAACGAAGAAGTTGTTGTACTATTATTATCCTGATTGCCCTGATATCCTTGATATGGTTCTTGATACAACTGATTGAGTCTCTAAGCACCAGTACCCGAAAAGTGCCACGCGTCCTATGCACTCAAGTGCGCAAATTGTGACGGATGAATATCAAATTGATGATATGGATGTCCGTATGGGGCCATATGATATGGTACAATATTCATTGATGCCATTTTATGTTCTTTTTTCCATTTCATACGGCGATTTTGAAACCAAATTTTTATTTGCCTTTCTGTTAAACATAATGCATGAGCTATTTCTATTCTTCTTCTACGCGTTAAATAACGATTAAAATGAAATTCTTTTTCTAATTCTAATGTTTGATATCTTGTATATGATGTTCTTTGTCTTTTTGTTTCACCGTTTGCATTAACAGTACCTAAAATAAAATAAAAATACGTAAGTGTATTAATTTTCAATATAAAATACAAGAAGAATTTAAAAGATAAAGTTTTAGTAAGAAACTTTAAGTGTAATGCTACTAAATATCACAGTACCTACTAAAATGTAGATTTAACTTCAATATAATTTATTGAGTAGTACGACTTTGGTTGCTGAATTAAATATGTAGGTGTTCTTTTACATATAAAACCGCGTATTAAGTATGTTACAGATCAAATTTTCACAGTCTCTTACAAACAAGGCAGGGAAAGTTTCATTAAATTATTTTTTTTTCAAAGTTTTTTTCTCTGATTCATTCAAATATCTTTGTTTTGGGATAAATTTTGAAGGGAGAAAGAGATTAGGATAAATTTTAAGAATAGCTTTTAAGAAAATAAAGTTGTTAAAATATATTTCAGCACGAGTTTTTATTTTTGAATACTGTTTATTTATTGAGATTTGCTTTTTATACTTTTGAAAACAAAAAGAATTAAATCTTAAATATTAAAACGATATTAAAACAATTGAATTATCAAATTAGTAGAAAAGTAAAAGTAAACATAAAATAATAAAAATATAAATTTTTTTCAATTATTCTATTCCTTCCAAAAATAATGGTATATTTCACTTTAAATAGAATATAGAAAAATTATTTGATCAAGAATAAAAATAAAAATTTGGCATACAAGTTTTAATTAGAACTTATCATATCGGAATAATATTTATATATACCGGATCAGCAATTCGGATTTAGGTCACGTCACAGTACTAATCATCCTCTGACAAGGCTATCGCAATTTATACAGGAACAACTAGGCGACAAAAATTTGCAGCTATTGTTGCATTAGATATCAAATCCGCATTTGACTCTGTCTGGCACGGGGGTTTGGTATTTAAGCTCATAAACTTGAATTTTTCCATACCTTTAACAAAAATTATAGAATCCTTTTTGTGTGATAGATTTTTTCGGGTCGCTGTTGGTAATGAAAAATCCATTAATAAACATATTGGTGCTGGTGTCCCTCAGGGATCAGTTTTGGCTCCTTTGCTTTACAATATTTACACTCATGATTTCCCTTCACTCACAAATTGTGAATCCTCAATTTTCGCAGACGATACTGCAATATTCACATCAGGATTATTGGCTACTGATATTATTAATAATATTCAACGATCAATTGATATTATTTTAAATTATTTTGAGAAATGGAAAATCTTATTAAATCCGCTAAAAACACAAGCTATATTCATAACAAAGAAGAGAAAGGCTTGTTTCTTACCCCAAACTAAATTAACAATTCACAACACGCCCATTGAATGGTCCGATCAAATTAAATATTTGGGTATCATTTTTGATAAAAAGTTAATTTTCAATAATCATATTTCATTTATAATCGATAAACTAAATTTTACCATATGGACTCTTTATCCTTTTATTAATAGAAAATCTAGAGTAAGCGAAAAAAATAAGTTAATTATCTTTAAGGTAATTTTTCAACCTATAATTTTTTACGGCGTACCTGTTTGGTGTAAGTGCGCCAACACCTATATTAAAAAACTTCAAGTTATGCAAAATAAAATATTAAAAATGATATACGAACCTACCAATTCGTTACTCTACCCTTGCGTTGCATGATAGAGATAACATTTCATTAATACCTGAAAGAATAGATGTTTTGATCGAAAAATTTTTGCATAACTGTGAAAACTCAGATAATTCTCTGTTAAGACAGATATCAACAAACTATTTATAAATTTAGGCTAAGTTTTACTATAGAATAAGTTTTAATTAAAACTAAACTGTCTATAGGTTTTTCTTTTGGTTTTCCTATTATTACCCTTTTAAATTGAATTTTTTAGATAAACAAGTTTTTGAATAAGTTGAAAAGAATAACATAAAATTCTAGCACTTAAGTAATATATTAAAATTATTGTAAAATGTATATTTATCTTGAAACAATAAATGATATTGAATTGAATTGAAATATTTATATAAATTCTCTTAAAACTTTTCCAAGGAAGAATCTGCATTCTATGATATGCTTTCTTGTATTAGGTTAATGGTATATGTCATTTTTCCAACAAATTTTTTTTTAATTGGATGTTTCATTACCGACCGTATTGTGTAAACAATAGTTAGGTTATGTGATGGCAACAAATTTTGCATATCGAGTTTGCGGTGGGAACGTACTTCTCCATAGTAGGGAAGTGTAAATAAACTATTTTTAGCAACCTGTCGTTCTGTCGGTCTGTGTGTGCACGCGTGTATCTCAAGTTGAACCGATTTTGATGAAATTTTATATGTAAGTTTATTTCAACCATGGCACGGATTGATCAACTTTTGGTATATATCAGGCCTCGGGAACTGCACTTTTTAGCGGGCCTGTTTTACATTTTTGAACATTTTGAAGAAAATATTCAACCGATTTACTTGAAATTTTATATATAAGCTCAGCTCGACCGTCCGCGAAAATTCCTATGATTTCGAAAAAATCAGGCATCGGCAACTAGACGTTTACTACGGGCCAAATATACATTTTTGGGTATATAAAGAGAAATAATCAACCGATTTCATTGAAATTTAATATATGAATTCCTCGTATTAAAACAATGAAGATATAAATTTTTTGGAAAGATCAGGGCTCGAAAACTGATTTGCGGGCCAATTTTACCTTTTTCACCATTTTAAAGAAAATATTCAACCGATTTACTTGAAATTACATATTTGAGCTTTGCTCGACCGTCCGCGAAAATTCCTAACTTTTGGAACAAATCAGGCATGAGCAACTGGACGTTTACTACGGGCCAAATATACATTTTTGTGTATATAAAGCGAAATAATCAACCGATTTAATTGAAATTTAATATTTGAATTCCTCGTATTAAAACAATGAACATGTAAATTTTTTGGAAAGATAAGGGCTCGAAAACTGAGCTGCGGGCCGATTTTACATTTTTCACCATATCTACGGAACGAATTGATAGAATTTCTTGAAATTTGATATTTGAGTTCTGGTTGTTACCGAAACTAACTGGCGAGCATTTCAGAGACTTCGGGTAGCACAAAGCGAAACTCTACTATATAATTTTGATTTTCAAACTTAGTAGAGAATGAAAAGAGGATTCTAAGAGCCAAATTTACATTTTTCTAGGTATGTTAACTATAAGCTTACTAATGTCCTAAAAATTGGAAAGAAGTATTTAACAGACATTTTTATAATATTTTGTAACACTTTCATTTAACTAGACAATACACAATGCGGTCGGTTATCAGATCTGTGATCGCATACGGACATCAGATTTTTTTTTTTATTATTGAGTGAACTTTTTTTAAAAGAATATACTTATTTTGGCATATTTCTGGAAAAATACATAAATCAGATACGCAATAGCAAAACATTTCTATTCTATTCTGAATAGATAGTTCAATTACTTCTAAGTCATTCAATATTTCATTCAATGTCTTCTCACCCTGTATGTAAAATGTTGAAATACATCTTCATTTCTTAAATAAAATTTTGCAGACTTAGAAGGCAAATTTATTTTTAGAAAATGTAAGGAGATTTGACTTAACGATTGAATTCTCTTAAAAACTCAATTAATTTTTTCTTCACGGAAAAAAGTGGGAAAGTTATTAAGAAATTATAATAAGTAAAAATTGCGGGTGCTTTTATGATATACTCTTTTTTGAGCTACAGCCTGCTGAAAAAAACGTACCACATTTTTCTTGCGCATAATAAATGCTTAAAGCTTCGGAATCATACAACATAAATTACAGCACAGGTAATTGACTGATTTTTGTTTTCGGTTTTACTATCAAATACATTTGCGATATAGTTTTCGAGACAAAGTTTGTCAAAGCCGGAATTTTTTTTAGAACACTTGAAATTTCTCAAAAATTGGTATTATCTTTTTTTTGATGTACTAGAATGACAGCTAAGTTAAAAATTTTCTTTATCTCTCACATTTTTGTCAGGAAAACATGTTAAATTTGTGTTAAAAGCATATAAAAACTTAGAGTTTTAGAGGCACTTAAAAATCGGAAGTGGAAAAAGTTTTTGTTCTTACGATTATGAACTATTTCAATAAGCAGTCAACAATGCCATATTTTCGACTTCGCATATAGGAAATTTTTTTCTACAGAAATAAGTTTTTTGTTAAAATCTTTTACAATTTAAAATTTCAGCTTTCTATCTCAAAGAATGCAATAATTTTGTAAACAAAAGCACAGACAGTTTTTTTTTTCACCTTTGTTAAAAAGGTGCTAAAAACCATTTTTTTTTTATTTATTTTCAAAAATATGTTTAGATTCTTTGTTTAGTTTACTTTAAAAAAAGATTTATGAAACAATGAGAAAAGATCTCCATCATATTCGAAATCTAATTATGTATTTTCGTTATGTTCAGTCAAAAAACTTTACTTTTGTTATTGAAACTTACAAAAGTATGTATTGATTTAAGCTTTTGACTTACTACTACTTGTTTTATATTTCTCAATATGTATAGCAAATAGAACTACATTTGCTCAAATAAATCAACATTCAAATTGTAATCGCTGTAAATCATTTTCATACCGTCATTGATGGTTTTTTAAAAATCTTAAGTGAACTTTAGTCTGTGTAGCACGCCAATTTGGCACCTTGTGATACCGCTGGAGTTTAGTTATCTTTGAAGAAAAGCAAAATTAACATTTAAACATATGTATGTGTATTGACAGACCAAAGTGTAGATATGAAAGGATTTACTACAAAAACAAATTAACAGCCTGATCGTGTATCTTTTAACTCACTTTTTATTCACTTTCAAATCAAAATTATAAGTATTTTCTAATGGATGTTTCACTTTTCCAATAAGATTACTCATTTTTTTAATTGGATTTTTTCATTTTTTCTCAAATACTCGAGTGAACGTCTCACTTTCAAAAACAAAGTGAAAAACTTTTGTATACAATTTAAAAAAATCTGATGTTGTCAGCACATAACCGACCGCAGTGTGTATT